TGAGCTGTTGTTCAGCATCTTAGCTGTAGAGGGCAGTGTCACTGGCCCTCATATGTGGGATCCGAACCGGGGCCCTCTGGCATCCCAAGTCAGTTCTTAACCATCGCACCACTCGGCCGGCCCGAAAGTTTTATCTCTTATTTTCAAAAGGAAATATATGATCTCTATATATTTAGATATGTTTCCATATAAGTCTTAAAATGTACTATTAATTATTTCATAAGATTCATCTTCAACTCTAACATTATTTAGGCAATCAAAATTTTTTTTATTAAAGCACTTGTATTAAGAAATATTTCAAACATATGACAAAGTAGAATCGTGTAATGAATCCCTATGTGCCCATATCTAGCTTTTTCTATAAGCCAACCTCCACACAGAATTATTGTAAAGCAAATCCCAGACATCACATCATTTTATCTGTAAATATTTCAGTATGTAACTATAATAATAAAGATGTCTTTAAATGTAATTACAATTCCATTCGACACCTAAAAAGTTAAAAATAATTTCTTAATATTCTCAAATATCTAGTTAGTGTTTTCATTTTCTCTTATAGTTGGTTGGTTCAAATCATGATCCATTGCAATTGGTTGATTTGTCTCTTGAGTTTTTGGGTTTTTAAAATTCCATGGGTTTTCAACCTTTTCCCATTCCCCCCCACCCCCACCCACAGACACATACACAATTTATTTATTGCAGGAACTAGTAGTTATCTGATTAGTGTCATAGTGTCTCAGAGTCTAGATTTTGTTGACTTGTATGTTAACATGCTTCTCTGTCCTGTGTATTCCCTGCAAACTGATCGTTATATCTGGAAGGTTTGTTTTTTTTTCTGACAAGAATATTTCATAGAGGTTTTGTGCATTTTTATCAGGAGGTACATAATGTCTGATTGTCTTTGTGATGTTAGCAGCCATCGACAGTTATTATCTAGATTATTAATTCATTAGGGTTTGCAAAATGGTGATATTCTTAATTAGTTCTATAATTTCATCTTTATTTATTAGCTGGAATAACTTAAAACATTTAAATGTACTTTTGAAACATGGTGGAGAGCCCCTGTTTTCGTTTAGCAAATGTTTAAAGAGTAATAATGACCTTAAAGTCCAAATATTGAATTTGAAATACCTTATGATACTTGAGTTCTCCTGTGTAGTGTTTTTAAAAGCTTCTAAAGAGATTTTATAATTTCTGATTTCACTGTGATTATGATTTCTAAGAAATGCTAACTGGTGCTAAGTTATAACAATACTTTTAAAAATGTCATCTTTTAACAGGAACGAGGGGGAATAATGTCACTCACGGAGGTGTACTGTTTAGTAAACCGAGCCCGAGGAATGGAAGTAAGCACAGAACATTTAGATATTCTTTTTCTTTTTTAATTAAATATAGACTTTCTCTATACAAATTCCCCTACAGTGGATACAATGTGAGGAAGGGTTGTGACTATCAGAACTATTTTGAGAAGAAGTATGGTGCAGTGAAGAGCACACTGCTCTGGGATCCCATGAGGTAGGTTCTGATCCTGGCTTTGCCGAGTGATCTTGAATGGCCTGCTTAACCTCTCAGACTCGGTTTTCCTACATTTAAGATAAGGGTTAGACTGCCTGATACCTTTCAGCTTGTACAGTCTGTTTGTATTGTGATTAATAAGACTGTACATGATGCCCTGACTCAGTGACTTCACTGGGCTGGATACAGAGTGCCTGCAGACAGTACAGAGGGAAGGCTGCCCTGCTTCTGTGGCTGTGACTCAGCGGCTCTCCTTCCACTCCCATTGCTCCCTCACACCCAGATGTCCTTCGCCTGCAAGGCTCTGTCCCTGCACTCTCTGTGCCCTCGCAGGCAGACACCGTTTTGTGGTGTCAGCAGTTACCTCCATGCAAATGACTCACACACCAGCTCTCAGCCCAGTCCCATGAGTTAAGCNGAGGGCAGTGTCACTGGCCCTCATATGTGGGACCCGAACCGGCGCCCTCTGGCGTCCCAAACCAGTTCTTAACCAATGCTCCACTCGGCCGGCCCCTCGTTTGCTTTCTTATTGTAGTGTTTTCTTTCTTTTAGGACTTGAGGATATATTAAAGTGCTAAAGAAAAAGTTAGCCATAAAAACTTTGTTAATTCTAGTAGGATTAAAGGATATTTCAGTAACTTTTTTGGAGTGTAGAAAACAAAGATACTGAAATATGTAAGGAGTCTTATACATATCCATGTTTGATATCGGTTTCATTAAATTTGTCTACAATCTGGTCACAGCCATGTTTTTAAGTTTTCGGTTGTATCATTAGGTTGACATTAAATATAGCATAGTTTTCTAAATCTCCTCTCACACCGAACTTGTGAGGTAAATGGAGTATGAGATACCAAGATAGAAGGAGGACTAATTAGATTTATGCAGGGAACTACTAGAAAAAGAGTAGAATTGAATTTATAATGGAAGGGTTTCAAATGTTGGAGTGAAGAGACTAATTCTGAATTTTCTTTTTGTGCATTTTTCTCCTTATTATAGACCATCAGGTTTAAATCCTATTTGCTGAGCATGGGAATAGCTAACCCAGTTACCAGGGAAACCTATGGCTCTGGCACACAGTACCACATGCAGCTGGCCAAACAGCTGGCTGGAATACTGCAGACACCTTTAGAGGTAAAAACAAAACCTCAGTGGTTTTTTTAAATTGTCTTAAATTATTTCCACGCCATCAGAAATCTTAACAAGAGCATAACTCCTTTTATGATGTGGTTACTATTCAAATGACGTTATTCTTTCTTTCAAGAAATTATTAAATTAATTCAGTGTACTTGTTAATGGATTTTTGTCAGTAACCTTCTAAATTGTTTTCAGTTTTCGTTTTAGATATCTGTAACTTTGTAAATCTTTCTGATATGAAGTTTTTCTTTTTTTTT